AGGTGGCGGGCGGCGGGAGCGAGGTGAGGCTGCGGGTGGCCGGGACGCGGGTCCCCTGGGGGCGGGCAGGCTGCGGAGCTGCAGGCTGCCTTCCAGGCACCGCACGCCCCCGCCCGGCCCGGCCGAGCCCCGGGAGCTGTGCTCCGGGCGGTGCTGGCAAAGTTTGCTTTGAACTCGCTCCCTGCAGCCTGGTCAGCGCGCAGAGAGCCGCTGCCCCGGGCGCTCCGACCCCAGGCCAGGCTTCCGGGGACCAGAGGGCAGGGCGCGGGCTGCCAGCCGGCGTATCTGGGGAGGGATCGGAGCCCCGCAGCCGGCTGCGGCAAGGGATTCGGAGCCTCGGCTTCTCGCGGCGGGCACCGCAGACAGCACGTCCCCACTTCCCTCCCGCAGGGAGCGGACATGGACTTCGACTCGTACCAGCACTATTTCTACGACTATGACTGCGGTGAGGATTTCTACCGCTCCACGGCGCCCAGCGAGGACATCTGGAAGAAATTCGAGCTGGTGCCGTCGCCCCCCACGTCGCCGCCCTGGGGCTTGGGTCCTGGAGCCGGAGACCCAGCCTCTGGGATTGGGCCCCCCGAGCCGTGGCCCGGAGGGGGTGCCGGGGACGAGACGGAATCTCGGGGCCACTCGAAAGCTTGGGGTAGGAATTATGCTTCCATCATCCGTCGTGACTGCATGTGGAGTGGCTTTTCCGCCCGGGAACGGCTGGAGAGAGCGGTGAGCGACAGGCTCGCCCCTGGCGCGCCCCGGGGGAACCCGCCCAAAGCGCCCGCCACCCCGGACTGCACTCCCGGCCTGGAAGCCAGTAACCCGGCGCCCGCCACCCCCTGTCAGCTGGGTGAGCCCAAGACCCAGGCCTGCTCCGGGTCCGAGAGCCCCAGCGACTCGGGTAAGGACCGCCCCTGGGCATCTAAGAGGAGGCATCCCATGGGTGGTCGGAGCTCTACAGCTGTCTGAGGGCAGTCTTAAGCCTTCCCATTACCTCCCCATTTTCTGGTAGAAGCTGCGGGTGTAGCCCCCAGCTGTGTCTGTCTGGCACGTGGGTGTGTTGGTAAACAGTTTGGAGAAGTGGGGAGGGAGCCAGCGTCCCTCTGATGATGATTGGAGCCCCAGGGGATAGGGGCGACATGGTGAGGGTTGGCGCTTAGAGAGGACAATACTCCCGTCGGACTGTAGGGGATTTGTGTTCTTGGGATATTGGAAGGGGTTCCTTAAGAGTTACTCCAAGCTTGAGGGGTTTTTGTTACTACCTCTTTCCCTGGGAAACTCACACTTCCCTAAGGGAGAGAATCTAAGGAGCCTTTTGTGCAAAGCCAAAACCTTCATCCTTTTACAAATCTTTTAAAGATTTCCTGCCTGCTTTACATTAAATTGCTAAGGATTCCCTTCTCTTACTTCCTGTTCTCACTCCTTACCACTTGTGTATTCGCATCACCAGGACCTATGAGACCAGCAGGGAAAAGAGTACTCTCCTCTCTCCTGTTAACAGATGGGAATACGGAGGCTTAGAGAGATAGGACATCAGTAGACGTGAGCTCCAGCTTCCTACTGTCCAGCCAGCTTCTTTTCCCAACCCTTTACCCCAATCTTCCTTGATATTTAGAGGGTCTTCCTAGGAGTTCATCTGACAAGAGGTACATGGTGCCTGTTGCTTTGGCTTCAGGTAGAAAGGTATCCTAGCTCCCTCCCAGTATACCTGTGAAACTGTTCTTTTGTGTTCAACAAATGTTCAATGGTTTCTACTTTCTTCCAGTCTGAGCAAGGTACTGGGGCTGGGGTAATTGCCTTGGAGCTGCAGGCCTCCCAAGGTCTATCCAGACTTCACTGAGGTCAAACAGAACATCTTGTGCCACCAGACAACCTTGTTCTTACCCAGCTTCTTAGACTCATGGTGCTATTGGAGGACATGCAAATTAGGGCAAATTGGTAGAGAAAACTCACTGCAACTTTAGAAAATAACATCTATGAGTATTTGAGAGGGAACTGGGGAATTGGGGATGGAAGTTGTCACACATTTAATGGGGAAAATGAGAATAACAGAATCAAAAGTCAGTTTTCCCAACATTCTCTATATTAAGTTCATTTTCAGCCAGCTTTTTTCTAACAAGAACTTGTGGTTTGTCTAATGGTTCATAGAAGAATCTTGAGATCAAGAAATTAATAAAGATCTAGCTCTTCAAAGTCTGATAGAGTTGAAAGGCGCTTCATTTTGGAAGTTATTTGACATCCAGAACATTACAAAGGTGATGGGGGATGTGGCTTATCTGGGCCTGTTTCCCCTTTTGCAAATGGGATGCTGAACCTGATTGTCCTGATGAGAACATTTCCTTATCTGGATAGAATCAGATGCTACTTTCTGAAAAGGAGCACAGTGTCTTAAGTGCTTAGATTCAGCCTTCTGAAAGATGAGATTTAACACTGAAAATTATAGGTTTGGGATGTAGGGAAACTTGAATTATTTTCTGACCTGCCCTTTACCCCCGAACCTGTTTGTGGGCAGGAGGTTCACTCTCTGGCCACATGGCCTAGAACAAAATGCAACAGATTGCAAACAATGAGGGGGGGTGGGGAATGTGACTGACAGCATAGCTCAGCCAATAGTTGTTAGGGGCAGGGTAAAAAAACATTCCAAACACTGCTTAGCCAGCCAATCATAGGCTTTGGGGCTAGGAGGCTGAATGGTCAGGTTTTATTAATGGAAAAATAATGCGATTGTCCACACAATGGAAACCTTCCTGACAAAGGGGCTCAAGCTTCCTGGTATGCAAAAGATGCTGAGAACTGAGCTCTTCTGTTGTAGGGCCAGAATGCTTTTTAAAGGTGGCCTTCTGTGTGAGGGGCTACAAAATGTGTGGAGCAGAAAGATCTTTCAGTTGCCTCTTCCTGGTTGGGTTCATCTCACAGACTTACCAGCCAGGGAATAGTAGGAATATGTACAGGTGTCTCTGGGTCCCTGGCATCTTGGCCTTTGTATCTGGGTCATTCTACTGCCTGTTCTCTGCCATTGGTGCTGGTAGCTTGTACCTTTGTGAAGTTCCTTATGTTTTCACAACCCTCAATTATAAATCCGACCCTCTCTGATCCAGAGAGGGGGATGGGGCGGGTGACCTATAAATGATGGATGACTTTAGAAATCCACTGAACCCAGGAACAAAATGCTCCTGAGGGAAAGCTTTCCCCTCCCCTCTGTGGCCAAGGAGAGCTGGTTGTAGCCCTCCCTTCTCTGCATCTTCAGCTGAAAGGATGGCAGAATAGAGAGGTGGGGGAATAATAGGATTTATAACTTGTGAAAAGTAACAATTCCCAAGCGCAGGCTGTGCTGGGCAGGAACAAAGGGCAGCTCTGCCCACAGACCCCTCATTTACAATTCTGATGGGGCATGAAAGAGCCCAAATGGGGAGGATCTTTATAGCTAAACTTTGTCCCAGGCCTGTGGCTCTTTCTCTCCATCCCCTCGGTGGGGGAGGAGAGAGCCTGTGCAGACTAGGGGCTGTTGGCTTGGGTCTGCCTTTTGTTCTTATCCAAGCCTTGCATGCAAAAGGGAATTGGAGAATATTTTCCTTCTTGTTTGTTTCCCCTCTTCACTCTGCCATTACCCCAGTATAAATGAATCAGCTGTCTTTATGGTCATTTCAATTTAGTGATATCTAAATCATGGGTATGTCACCTACTTTGATGAGCTCCAGCATTGACAGCATTGAGGGTCTGTGTATGTATTCTTCATGGGGTGTTTCTTCTTTTCATCTCTCTTCTTGAACAGAAGGTGAAGAAATTGATGTTGTAACGGTGGAGAAGAGACAGTCTTTGGATATACGGAAGCCGGTCACCATCACAGTGCGAGCAGATCCCCTGGACCCCTGTATGAAACACTTCCACATCTCTATCCATCAGCAACAGCATAACTATGCGGCCCGTTTTCCTCCAGAAAGTTGCTCTCAAGAAGAGGCTCCTGAGAGGAGTCCCCAGGAAGAGACTCTGGAGAAAGAAGCTCCCAAGGAGGAAGAGGAAGAAGAAGAGGAAGAAGAGATTGTGAGTCCCCCACCTGTAGAAAGCGAGGCTCCCCAGTCCTGCCACCCCAAACCTGTCAGTTCTGATACTGAGGATGTGACCAAGAGGAAGAACCATAACTTCTTGGAACGAAAAAGGCGGAATGACCTCCGCTCCCGGTTCTTGGCTCTGAGGGACCAGGTACCCACCCTGGCCAGCTGCTCTAAGGCCCCCAAAGTAGTGATCCTAAGCAAGGCCTTAGAATACTTGCAAGCCCTGGTGGGGGCTGAAAAGAAGATGGCTACAGAGAAAAGGCAGCTCCGGTGTCGGCAGCAGCAACTGCAGAAAAGAATTGCATACCTCAGTGGCTACTAACTGACCAAAAAAGCCTGACTTTTCTGTCTTATAGGCGCAAGTTTATTTTTCAACCTCCCTCTCCCTTTTAGTAATTTGCACAATTTGGTTACAGCGGGGCAGTCTGAACAGATCCCAGAATGCATTGCAGCCGGTGCACACACAATAAGGGCTTGCATTCTTGGAAACCTTGAAACCCAGCTCTCCCTCTTCCCTGACTCATGGGAGTACTGTGTCCTCTCTGGCGCCTTTGCTTCTCAGCAGGCAGCTGACTGAGGAGCCTTGGGGTCTGCCTAGCTCACTAGCTCCAAAGAAAAGGCTGACAGATGCTATGCAACAGGTGGTGGATGATGTCGGGGGCTGCAGCCTGCATGAAATCTCACACTGTGTTGGAGCTTTAGGCTAGGAAAAGATGTTGCTCCCACTGGTGTCTCTGGGGGTGATGCAAGGACAGCTGGGCCCGGATGCAGTCCCTGAGGCTCCTTTTTCCAGGAGACACATGAGCTGTCCTGTTGAAGACAAACTCACAGACTTGATCAGCGTGGACCATACCTCACTGTCAGACACTTTACAGTAGCTGAGGAGTGGAAACATTTAAGATGTATTAGGATGTAGGGCCACACCCTTCCCCCCACTCTCCATGCTAAGACTTTGAGAACATTTAAAGAGCTTGGCCTGTAGATTCTTTGTCTCAGAGCCCTCTGGGCCTTCCCAGAGAGGGACCTTTCTGTCCTCACAAGGGACTTTTTTGTTTCTCTCTGCCTTTGTTATGCAATGGGCACTGTGGAACCCTTTCCCACAGATCAGAAATATTTCTTTAAGACATAAGGAAATGGGTCCTGTCCTGGGGCCTGAGGAAGGGTTGAAGTCCTGGCTCATGAACTTGTTTCCTTGCCCAGGTGTTTTCAGTGGGCCATTTGAGGCCCATCTTGGAACCTTTTCTCAAGGTAGACATAAGGCACCTCAGAAGGAAGTGCTATAGCACTTCCTCTTTCCTACCTGCCTCTCATCTCAATTCTTGACTCTGAAGTTTTGCTGGAACCCTGCAGACCTCTCCTTCTAAAGTAACTCGAAGGAGATTGCTGGCTCTGCAGCCATCAGCCTGGTTCCCTGCCAGCCTGACGTGAGTCAGATCCTTTTCCCAGAATCTGGGCTTTACTGAGATTTTCAAAGGAGAGCCACTTGGATTGATCTAGTGCCCCAGAAGGTGGACTTACTTCTGGAGGGTTGTAAGGGTACCTCTAGGAGCTCTACTTAGCCAACCATGATAGATGTTGCCCCAGCTGGTCTCTACAGCTCCAGATGGGATCTAGATACAGCCCTCATTCTAGGCAAGCCACCCAGCCTGGCAGCAGTCATGTGGGCATCCTCAAGAACTCCTAAGCCTTGCCTGGAAGAACCAGCCCTTCCAGAACTTTTCCCAGGAAGGCAGATTCCTGATGGACTTGGGTTTGGAAGTAGGTATGGGGGTGGTGACAGTAAGTATTGTCCATGATAGTCTCTCTAGGGTTGCTTCTGGCCTGGGAGAGCCCTGGTGGAAGCCTTGGAAATAGCTGTTGTTACCTTCTGGAGCAGGATTTTCAGTCACCAACAGACTTGTAGAAATGTCTGTAGAGGACAAGTATGGAACAGGCTACTGAGTTCTTATCTGAATAGCTTGTGTTTTATAAGCTGCTGCTGGATGATATGCTGGGGGAATCTTTTTTTTTTTAATACTGTATTTTTGTATACCTTTTGCAAAGTGGTGTTAACTGTTTTTGTACAAGAAAAAAAAAAAAAAAAAACCAACTCCTGTTGCAAGGGTCTCATTTATTTTGAAAGGCAAGTTTACCTAAAATTTTGTATTTAGTTGTGGTTACTGATTGCTTGGTTTTAAACTGTTGCCTTCTGGGACATCTTCTAATAAAAGATTTCTCAAATATGCAGAGTGGGGGTAGCATACGCCATCTGAGTCCTCAACCAAAGAAAACTATTTCAGGGTAGCCACAAGTGATCCGGGTGACTACATTTCTCTAACCATGTTGCTAACCTGGTCATTCCACTCTGGGTTCCTGAAATGCCATTTCAGACATGTCTAAACAATGTCATGTCGACTCAGTACTCAGTGAAAACTAAATTCTCCTGTCAATTGCAGAGTGCTGAATTTGTGTTTCAGAAGGCTTGAAGTCTCGGCTCTACCACTCTGTGATCTTTTATTTTTGCCTTTCTCAGTTTTTGCTTCCTTATCTGCAAGGTGGGGGTAAATATTTCCCCGAGTTTTTTCAGGTTTTAAATGAAATAGTAGATCCTGAATTTCTCTCTAAACTATACGGCCTGATTCTTTAATATAGGATTGTTCTTAGGACCTTTTGTAGGCTCCCTTTTAAAAGAACTTTTATGAATTTCTAATGTAATAGGATTTTTCTTTCTGCCTCAATTAATGCAGGGAAAATTAGGGTTCTCTAGAGTTCTCCCATAAATTTGCCGTAAATGTAAGCCGTTTGCCAATGGCTCTTCCTCATGGGACACCGCCTCTGTCTAATCACTGCTCACTGTTTTACATTAGGTTACACCAACTGTATATCAGGGCTACAAAATGAAGACACTGGTTATGCAAGGAAACAGACCTAGGCAAAGTCACACAGGAAATACACTGAGATTTGAATGGAGCTCTCCCTGTCTCTGGAACTAGAGGTCTTAACCACTATATTACACTGATCATTAACACCACACACTGTGCTGAGAAGTAATAAGGGAATTCCATCACTTAGCTGCTTGTTGGAACTGCTTTACTTTGGGGCCACTGCACCTGCCCCTTCTAGAGTGAAATAGAACAAATAATAAATGTTCCATGATCATCTGGCCACTCTGCAGCATTTGTACTGGGTTGGACTGCCTGGGCCCAAAGAGGTCCTATCCAGTACTGAAAAAAACCAGTTGCTGTTTTAAAAAGCCCTGGGCATCCCTGTGAGGGAAAGCTGCTCTCGTCTCTCCTCCTGCCTTACAGTTGGGCCTTGAGTTGGTATTTTCTGCCTGGATGCCTAGACCCTTTGTGGAGCCTGAGTAGGGTCAAAAGCCTCTCTTACTGGCTGCTCTTGCAGAGGACCCTGGTTTAGTCCCCAACACCCACCTGGCAGCTAACAACCATCCATAACTCCAGTTCCAAGGAAATCTTAACGCCCTCTTCTGACCTCTACAGGCATTGCACACATTTGGAGAGCTTAGCATACCTAACAGGCAAAACACTCATACTTAGAAAATTTTAAAAAGAAGCTTCTCTTGGGGCTTGGGATATAACCCAATAGAGAGCATGTGCCTGGCATGTGCAAAGCCTTGAGTTCAAATCCCCAGCAGCATCAAAAACTAGCAAACAGAAAATCTCTCATGTCTACAAAGTAACCCTTATCACAACCTGCTAAGAGCAATACCTGCCATGCTTTACTGGGGCACACTGTATTTTCTTGCCCAAAGTCACATAGTAAAATCAAGATTCCAGGACTGTTTTTTTTGGTAAGGTAAACTTACCATTCGACCACCTTTCTCCTCACCAGTTGCCCCTATACATCGTAAACCTCTAGTCTAACTAGATGTTGTGGCATAGCCTTTAATCCCAGCACAGCAGAGGCAAGCAAATCTCTGAGAGATTGAGGCTAGCCTGGTCTACATAGCAAGTTCCAGGTCATCTGGGGCTATAAGGAGATCATGTCTCAAACAAAACACAGACAAAACAGACTTAGAATAGTGGGATTTTTTTTCCCCCTTCCCTTCTTCCCTCCTTCCCTGTCTTCCTTACTTCCTTTTTTGTTTGTTGAGCCAGAATCTCATGTAGCCCAGGCTGAGAATGACCTTGAGCTTCTGATCCTTCTGATCCTTCTGCCTCCATTGCCAGGAATGCTGGAATTGCAGGTATGTGTCACCATGCCTGGCAAAGAACACTTTCATTAAAACTCCCAATAGCTTCTTTATTATTTTTGGTTTGGTTTGTTTGGTGGTGCTAGGAATAGAACCCAGGGCCTAGTACATGCTAGCCACATGCTCTTTTTGAGGCCATTTGTCCAGAGACTGATTTGTAGGTCTTCCCTTACTCTTTGAGTTTGTGGGCACTCGTAAGAAGATAAGGACCCCACGGTAGAGGCATTGATCTTAGCCTATTTTTGCATATCTTAATCTTTTTACAGTAACCTAGAGATCAAGGGGTGGTGGCAGCCCCATTTTACAGATAAACAAATGGAGTTCAGAGACAGTGAAGCTGTTTAAACACACAGTCAGTACCAGCTGCTGACTCCCAGCTTCAGCTCCTTTGAATCAACTGCTGAGCAGACTGGGAACAAAGCCATCTCCTGGGGGGAAGGGAGGGTATTTCTGGAATGTGAGGTATTTTAAGCTCCTTCCTAGTTCATTTCTACTAACTCCTACCTCTATCTTTGTCTGAAAATAGTCAAGTTTATTCCTGGATTTCAGAGAACAATTCCTACAAATTAGGTTTGCCTCTGAACAGTACACCTGAGGGAATGCTTATGCATCTTGGCATGAAGACATTAAGGGATGGTGGAGAAACTATGCTCAATGCAGCAAACAGGTCATCTTCCCCTTAAGACAGCCCAAGGCTAAGGTGCATCCTTAACCCCTTCTATTGGCAGTTGGGAGGGGACATGTTGGACTATCTTAGATGATCTGAATTTGTCAAAGGTCTCCTGAGATCAGGGCACTCCAGAATATTTGCTTTAGAAGAGGAAAAGGGGATTCGGATGTCTATTGATCAGGCCCGGTGACCGGAGTGCTAGAGATGTGCCTTTCAAATGATAATCAGAGATAATTGATGACTATGTGATTAGGGAGGGGTAGAGGAAGGTATCAAAATGTTTCAGTTTAAAGTTCCCTTGGTGGGTGGACATTGTTACTGCAAACCCAGTGGGTGGCTCTTGTTAATGTCTGCTTATTCACAATGGCTCCCTCCAAAGGGATCAACTGTATTAAAGTTACCATTCTCTTGGCAAGGAAATGTAAATATGTTCTTAAAGTCTCTAATCAGGTGTGCTATTAAATGATTAGGCTCAGCGCCAGGGGTCAAGTAGGAGCCTGGCAAATACTGGATTGCCTTTAAATTGAGGGAAACAGTATGCTTAAAGGGTCACTTAGATGCAACAGATCTCAGTTCCAAATCTTGGCTCTGCATTTTCTAGCTTTGTGACTTTTGCAAGTTATTAATACCTTGCCCAGCTTCAATTTCCTCATCTGTAAAAAACAGGTAAAAATAATAGCACTTACTTTATTGAGTTGTAAGCAACAGTAGCTATTTAGTAAATGATTACTTAAACCATATTAACAAGTCACACTTAGAATACAAATTAGTTATATTTGAAAGGGGATGGACAGAAAGAATTGGTAAAATAAGAAATTCTTCCAGCAAAGGCTGGGGAAATGGCTCAGTTGATAAACTATTTGTCCCACAAGTATGGGGACCTGAACTCAATCCTTAGAACTCAGGTAAATAAAAGTAAAAAGCCAGGTGTGTTGGCATGTGTTTATAAACTTAGTGCTGGGGAGGTGGGGAAGCATGACTCCCTGAGGCCTTGGCCAGTCAGCCTAGCCTAATCAGGAAGGCCCAGGTCCTAGTGAGAGACCCTATCTCAAAAAATGGATGGATGGTGGACTGGAGAGATGGCTCATGAGTTAAGAGCACTGACTGCTCTTGCAGAGGACCCAGGTTTGATTCCCACCACCCACACGGCAGCTAACAACTGTCTGTAACTCCAGTTCCAGGGGATCCAACACTATCTTCTGACCTCCGAGGGTATTGCACGACAAGGATGCACCTGCCTACATACAAGCAATACACCCATACACATTAAATAAAAATAAATAAAATATATTTTTTTAAAAAGGATGGGGTCCTATACTTAAACTTTTTTAAAAAGGTGATTCCTAAGGACAGAACTTTATCAGTTTTTATTCTTAATTAGCAAAACCATAGTTTTTTTCTATTTGTTGCTTTTGGGTTTTGTTTGTTTGTTTGTTTTGTTCTTTAGGGACCAGTGAGATGACTCAGAAGATAAAAGCACTTGCCTCTAAGGCTGGGAACTGAATCTGATCCCAAGCCCCAAGATGGAAGGAGAAAACTGATTCCTACAAGTTTCCTTCTGATATCCACATGCTGATTGTGAGATAGGTATACACACACACACACACACACACACACACACACACACACATACGTGCACATGCACCCACACCCCACACCGACACAAACATGTATGCATGCACACACCCACAAATCTTAAATTGAAACACTCATATCAGTATCCCCAAGGGGTAGTTAAATCATCAGGGAAGGAGCACCAACATTGACCCATGGTGGGGAGAGGCTGAGTATCTAAATCTGTCCTAGTTTTTTTCTCAATTGCTGTGACAAAACACTCTGAACAATGTCAACTTGGAGAGGAAAGGGTTTATTTAGCTTACATATCCCGGGTCATATCCAGGGCAGGAACCTGGAGGCCAGAGCTAGAGCACAGGCTATGGAGGGATGCTGCTTACTGGTTTGCTCCCCTGGGCACTGCAAAGCCTGCTTTCTTACGCAACACAGGCCCACCTGGCACCACCCACAGTGGGCTGGGCCATCCCACATCACACAACAGTCAAAAAGATGCCTCACAGACATGGCCACAGGCCAGTTTAATGGAAGCAATTCCCCAATTGAGGCTCCCTCAACCCAGTTGTGTCAAGTTGACACGATAGCTATCCAGTACACATGTGATTTCCATTGTTCCTCACTGGATGTTGTGATTGGTGCCTTTAGACACATAAAGGCCAACTGACTGTATTTCATACATAAATCATCTTTATACCTTCTTCCCCTTTTGCATCCTCCCATAGCCCCCCTACTGGAGTTCATATATT